CCGCGGGAAAGGAAGTTTTTGTGTAGCAAATTTAGAAATAGCTCAGTTATGCCTTACACTTTCATTTTACATGAAATGAATTATTGCATGAAGTAACTTAGAACTGAGGATGCTTATTAAAAGTAATTTCCTGATTGCAGCAGTAGTACCGTTCTGTGTAGGTTTAAGACGGAATATCACTATTTCCTCCATGGAATGAAAGAGACGTTTGATACTATGTAATCGCCGAGAGGAATTAGCAGTTGTTAGCGAGGTCATTGATCGATTGTCCGGCAAATATAACTGCTGTTTAATTTTGGTAGGCATCATCATCTGTCGAGAACGTACTTGACTTCTAGGTCTTGGATCAGAGCAGAGAGAAATTTGCAATCAAATATGCAACTTAGCTTTATTACCAAAGGTCTTAAGAAAAATGCGATACGTATGTGTTGGATAATTAATCTCATGTTCACCGATTTTGCAATTTCTTTAGTCATTTAACCCGTTAGCAGTCAGTTGCGGATTAAAGAGAATTCAGAGACGGAACCAATTTCTCCTTTGTTACAAAGTGTGTTCCTCTCAAACACAGCACGCTTTTAAGTTATTTCACTGCTGTTCATATATTTATATTATAAATGTGAACAGTACTGAAATAACTAATAATATTTAACTGTAAACACAATTCAAGACCACCTCACGGAAGCTATGAGAAGTAGTCATGTCTGGCAAGGTCTGCATGCTTATTGAAGTATGACCCATTCAGAAAATTGAGGCGAAACAGGATATACGAGACACGCCCAGAAGGTTTTCTTAACCCACTCGTGGAAATCTCAAAGGAGATTACCAAAGGAAGATAACGAAATTAAAGGATGGCTTATTTAACTAATCGCTGACTTAAATAAAAGTGCGTTTGTGTGTTTGTAGCGTCATTAAGTGGCATTTTATTGGATCGACATGTTGAATCGTGCTTTCCAACACGATTAATAAAAAAAAAATGCTCTGCTAGCGTTCACCAAGAACAGAAGTAGCGAGTCAAATTGATCAATCAATTCACTGAATAATCATTGTTCAATGAAACCGGACCAAAAGAAACTGTCCAAGTTATTTATAGATGACTATGCACTTTATCGGAAGCCTTCCGGGAAATACGGCCTTATTAGTCGATGAGGGTAGCTTTCCGGGGTTGATCAATTTTCAACTCAAAATATTCGCAATGTACGGCCGTGTCTATTACTTGATGGGGTAAACTATTTTTTATCTTGCTGGTTTCGCTAAATATTTGTCATTTTAATTTCTGTTTATGGATTATTTCTTTCACCTTCTCTTTTTTACCTTTAGCGCTTGACAACGCATTCATACTATAAGAGAAATTATATTCTGGTGAGTCTAGTGATAACATTGTCGCATTTCCTTATTTTGCAGCGCTGTTGGTAAGGTTTCTGTGCCATCGATTCATTGGGGAATATGATCCTACCATTGGTAAGTATAACGTTCTTTTGACTTCAGTTGGACTCTGACTTCCTTGTTCTTCAAACAGATTTTGCTTTAAGTAGTGATTTACCACTAGTAAATCACTTCTTTCTACTGACTCTATATGTCACTTCTCTTAGTGTGCTTGTGTGTGCTTTTTTCGCTTTTTTTTCCTCCCTTTGCTTTTGCACATTCGCGGGTTAAGTTTTGCTTAACTACTTTTTATCCTAAATTATGATCATTTTGTGTGCCGATGACAACATTTTTATTATTTTGCATGTTAAGTCTTGGGTATCTTTATGGTACTCCTTTACATAAGCCTTATTGGCTTCCCTGGGCTTCCTTGGCTTATATACATTGATATGTTATAAATATATTTGTAAATGGCAAAAAATAAAACAAGAACAAAAACAAGACTCGAAAGTACAGCAACAGATGGGTAAGGGGGTCAGTGAAAATTAAACGCCCAGTGAACGAACAGGAGAAGAGTTGGTCACCCTTAGGGTTGGCACGTTCGTCCTCAGAACTTGGCGTCTCCCGACTTGGACGAAACGACTTACATTTGAGGCTGTGGAGGTAATAGCGTTAATATTACATTGGTTGTGCCCATTCTATCCTTTGTGATTGGCGTAACAGTAACCTGCAATCATGTGTAGATGTGGGGAGGGCGCACCATCGTGGGTTAAACTAACAGTTGTACTCTAGCTCCTTTGGCAGCTTCAGTTTCCTGAAGATATGACTTCTTTCCTTTTAGAGGATTGTTATCGCCGTACTGTGAGAGTAGATGGTGAGGAAGTCACCATTGATATATTGGACACGGCTTGCAGGGTAAGCCTTTCTTTACTGTTTTCTTTAAGAAATTTGAGTGAGCTAAGCCAGACGAATGTCGAACTGAGAGATGTCTACTGGCTAGACTACGAGCAGTCTCTCTTTTCCTCGAAAATCCGCGAGGAAGAACGCAAACAAGTAAGCGCGCGAGCGTGACTATGAGCGGAAGTGCAAGTGGCGAGTGGCGATGCCGCGAGCCGTTAGTAGCGCGGGCGTGCGCTACTAGCTCGCACGCCACGCTCACAGTCACACCCGGACTCTTACTTGTTTTGCGTTCTTCCCCACGGATTTTAGAGGAAAAGAGAGACTGCTTGCAGTCTATCCATTAGCCGAAAAACTTAATGAGTAAAAACTTTTGCTGTAACGAGACCATGTTGGGCCTGGTATCCACATATTTGCGGCGATGTTTCTCGCGGTTGTTTGGAAAACCTGAGTTTCCTGTGGCCCAGTCTCTGAAGCTTTCTGATAAGCTAGGAATCATTACTGAAAAAAATAAAAGTAAATTTGAAGTCGGCGCTGATCTTTTTAATATTCCTTTTTTAGAACTCAACGTCCAAACTCACGGAGAATTTTCTCCAAACGGGAGATGGTTTCGTTATCGTGTACTCCGTTACCGACAGGAAAAGTTACATCACCGTTCCGCGTTATAAGGAAATGATCGAGGAGTCATGTGACCGCGCAAACCAGGGTCCAGCCTCCCTTCTCCTTATTGGAAACAAAACCGACCTGGAGGAGCATCGCACCGTTGCTAAAAGAGAAGGACAGAATTTGGCGCAAAGATACGGCTGGTCGTTCGGCGAAGCTTCTGCCGCAGAGTACGACGGCGTGGATAAATGCTTTTACGAGTTACTTCGAGAAATACGAGCACGAAGACGAAAAATGAGTCCATCCGAGTTCCCGATGTTGCATCTGAGCGACTTACGTCAGTCTAGCTGCAGTGACATTGACAGTCAAACGGATGAAAGCGCATCGGAAAGTAAAAAGAAGCGTTTTGTCAAAAAGAAACTCAGCGACTCTAGTCTACAGTATAAGCGAAAGCTATTTGGTTCGTGGCATGAGTTGCTATCACAGCCGGCGAAAACAAGTGCTAACAAAAGTAACCATTCTTAAAAGCGACCGCAAAGGCTTACGATTTTACGTAAACTAATCAGATAATTTTATGAGCTCATGCGAAAACACCGAATGTTGTCATGTCAGCGTGATGTCATAATGACACGCTATTGCATAGCAACGTCTCTGACTACAATGCTGGCTCAACTAAAATTCTGAAATGATGCGTCCCTGCTTGTTTCCCGGATTGCTTGGCTTAGTTAGAGGACAAGACACCATGGTCATGGCTCTACTGTTTTGTAATTCTGTTATAACACTGATATCTTTGATATACCCTTCTTGTCAGTGAAAAAAAAAAAAGCGATTTAAAAGTGGTCCGTATTGAGCACCTTTTGAGTTTTGCGCTATTTTATGTAAATAGACATTTGGTCAGCCCAATAAAGTTCTTTAGGAGAAAACCTTTTTTCCAGTGAGATTTTCTCCAGTAGCATGAATTGTGTTTGTAAGTCACCGAGGCTTTCTTCTTGATTTTCATTTTATGTAGTTGGTCTCCGTTCTATTCCACGTCGTAATTTTTACCTGCGCCCTTTAGTTTCTAGTTAATTTGCGCGCAATTTGTGCTGAAATTTTCTTTTTGTTACGTTTTGTTCTAAGTAAGCTAGACGTCTCTTCAGGTTTACGCGTTTTTAAACGAAAACGCGCCACAGCTCGGACGAACAGCATCTTTGTGGATTAACTCCATCGTCGTGACTAGAGCCAAGATAGCCACATCCGGCCTTTATCAAGTCGTAAATAATACACCATCACCATGAACCAATCAAAACTCGAAGCCAAACGGTATCAGTGTCAAACGCGGGGGAAAACATGCAATCCGTTTAGCAAGTACAGTCACGATTCACTTGAAAAGGACCCAGCTTGTTTGCCCTATTCTTTTATGCCGATTGTAACACCAAATTTAGTAACCAGTTAGAGAATTCAACAAAAAAAACGTAACTTGCAACCGTAACTCAAATCGCACTTGGTTTTGATTCGCTCCTGATTGGCTCAAAAAACAATGTTTTGTGTGATTAGTTTAAGCATTTGTTGGGTGATTTCAAGCAACTGAGTTCTGCACAAGAGGTGGTAAGCCAAAGTAAACACGTTAAACTGCTTTCGGTAATCATGGAACGATGGCTTAAACATTAACAGTAATGTAAAGAGTGATAGGTTTACAAATGATTGAGAGGAATAATGTTGTAAATTAAACAACATTCCACAACGTACAAGTTAATCAAATATCTCAGTGTAATTTTCTAGCTGGAAGGTCCATTTAGTGAACAACTGTGGTGGAGGTCTTGAAAATCGCTGGTAAATAATGTTCTCTCTCTCTCTCTCTCAAAAAAATGTTCAAATGTAGTTGTTTATAGAGGTCACTGCGCTTAGCTACACCTTGCTAGTTCACAGACATACCACGTTAAATGAAAGAAACAAATATATCAACTAAATGTATAGGCTTAAAAATCCCAACCGGCGGGAGGCAGACCAGTTGGCTATTTACAAGCATGACCGAGGAGTTGAACTACGGTCTACCGAGAAACAACTCTAGCTAAGTGGTCAGAGCGGGACTTGAACTCGTGACCTGCGGATTTTGAGTCCGGCGCCCTAACTACTCGGCCACGCTGCATCCAAAATCATCAAATCATTTATAATTGCTGACCTTTTCCTTAGACTTTTGCGTGATTACGCATTAATAAGGTTTTTAGTCTGAGGTAACACGAAATTTTATTATTGCTGCTTTATTGGCATTCTGTTTATATTGAAAAAATTTCCTCATTCACTGTCCAGCTTTTGATCTGACTTTTTAAGTCACTGCGTGCGCCATTTTACACGCACAAACTCTGAATGAAAAATTATTTGACAACAAAACTATTTTTAGTCGAGGTTCCCTTTAAAATGTCCATTCCGCCCTGGATAATTCCCCGAGCTCCTGTCTATTCACTGAAAACAAATCCCTGAGAACGAATTGCGTGCCTACAATTAGCCTCGCTTTCAAGAAAGTAGCGTCCAGTTTGCGCATTGCGCTTTGCCGGTTTGACGTCCTGAACACGTGCCTTCTTCCCCTTTCACCCAACATGGCCGCGAGCAATTATTACGGCTACTCTTCGGGCGGCCAACACTCCCAAGGTTTTACCCAAGCTCAAAATCCGTCGATACAAACCAGTTACGGAACACCCCAAGGAACTACTGGTTACGGAGTTCAAGCTTCTGCACC